AGGAAAAGTCTGTGAGGTGTAAATACTTTTTCAAGGCACTCATATAGGTATGTTTGAAGTTGGTACTGTCACAAAACAATCCAGCTTGTGTCAAAATGAGCAAGCAGGAGTACAAATATCTCTTGAATGCCTCATATGTGCAATAGAGTTGTGGAGTTATTTTAAAAGCACAGTTTAATCAACGCTTAAAGGCAGTAAACATGTTTTTTTAAGTCATTGTGTCTTCTTCCACTGCTGTTTGTGTGAAATGCACCGATGCACGTCTGTGGCTCTGCTTCAGTTCCCCTTTGAATGGGGCAAAGGCAGTTCTCAAAGACATCATCACTTTTGTTGGAGCCATCACAAAGAACGCAGAAATGCAGAGACGAGTGGCAGCACCTCAAAGGCCTTTAGACTGCAGTGAGTGAGCGGTGCACCAGGCCAGAAAGTTTACCGCCTCCACGGACATGCCCCCAACATGAAGAACAGATGAAAAAAGCAGCGCTGTGTAGTCACTCAACATGCATTTCAAAAATATGAGTCCACTGGGGAAAGAGCCTTTAGACAGATCACTGCAGTGGGCTGATTGCACTAACCTTTATAGAGAGGATCAAGACTGTGACCAACTTCAAAGCTCAGGAGGCCACACGTCCTACATCACTCTTTTGGCTCCTTCATAATGAGAGCGACAGCAAAAAATAAAAGTCAATTTATGTTAACAATCAAAGGAACTTAATAGATTCTTCTAAAGGTATCGGTGAAACAGTGTAAGGAAAGGAATCAATCGTCATTAAAGCGATTTGTATACAGTGACAGGAAGGAGATATTTAAATCCTTCAAAATTGTCCCCATGTGTCACTTTTTCCCATCATTAGTATCGATTGAGTCATATCATTTCCCTGTTCTTGGGCACATAGTAGAAGACACTCCCTGAATCAGGGAGGATACCCCTGCACCAGCCAATCAACTCTCAGTCTAAGGCTGCGACAGTAAAACAGTATCAGTTTGGCTTCCCGTTTACATGGAGACGGTGTTTCAGAGGGGTGAAAACGTAAGCGTTGAAAACCAGCCGACAGAGTGGAACAGAACAGATATGTTCTCAGCGGGCAGCTTTTTTACACCCGCATGAAGAAAAAGGTGGTAATTCGCTTCTGCTTTGACCCCCACTTCCCGCACGTACATTTGGACATGCGCAGTAGCCGAGAACAAACGTAAACAACAATGGCGGCTGATACACTAACTTGCTACATGTGCTTCAATTGCTACATGTAGAATTCGACTCCTTCGTCCAAACAAAACCACGCAAAACTTTAGTTTCAGTTTCCATTTTCGCTGCTGCTGTTAAATGCAGAATGTTGTTGGTGCGTTCTTTCACGTCTTTGCGGCGGCTGAAGAGGATGTTGTTGAAGTGAGTACACTGCTGGGTGTCGCGTGTGTTGTGTTATTAAATTCCTCTGCCCACTACTGGCCCAGGCGCTAGAACCTCTATTGTTTTCACGCGCCATCTTAACGCTACGCTGAGTAGGGTTGGGCGATATGGGCCTCAGCATGTATCACGATTTTTGTTGGTATGTATCACGATATGACGATATGATAATTTGAACAAAGCCTCATATAAAAGCTATAAAAACTTAGCACTGATCATTTTAAACACACTTGCCTCAAAGTGCATTTACTGATTTATTGGCAGCAAAATGTGTAATACAGCTATTGTATATAAAACGTATTAACAAAACTGAATTGTAGAGAATTCTGTTTTGTACATACTGAAAATTGCAGGCAACATGCAATAAAGGTGAACATTTGTAATTTGTAAAATATATAAAAGTTTGTCCTTTGTAATATAAAAAGTGTAGCATTATCAAATAATTATTTTATCACTTTGGCTTATGTTTCCTAATCCCAATATAGTCAAAATTATCAAATACTGTATATATTTTTTGTATCTTTTTGCGTTTCTATAATTATGTAATTATAACTTATTTGTAATTATATTGCAATGTAGACAAACACATGCATTGAAGTAAAATGAATGACAGTAAACAGTAAATAAAGCTTACCAATGGCACTAAGAGAGAGAGAGAGAGAGAGCGAGAGAGAGAGAGTGTCCGAAGCAAGCCACTCGAGTCCAGTTGTTTAGGGCAGCTGCTTTCACAACATTAGATCCACTGTCGATAGTTACACACAATTGCTTCTTTTTATCTAGTTCCCAAACTACTCCCATATGTTTGAGGTAGCTCCACGTTTTGGCACAATGTCTTTTACAATCTGCATGTCTTCACCATGGTCTTCACCGCCGCCCTCAGCCATGTTTGCTCTCTGCTCTGTTGTTGTTGTCCCTGCACGCCGCTCTGCTACACGTGCAGCGCAGATGCGTCATCAAAGTGCGCCGCACACAAACGTGTCTTCCGCTCGCTGTTTTCAGTGTTAAATGATCGTTTTCACCGGTATAAGGCATTTTCTTATCATTTAATTTACTTATACCGGTATACCGGTACAAAAAAAATATCGCCCAACCCTAACGCTGAGCCTGGTCGTTTCTGTTAATTGCTTTGCAACGTCTGCGCAGCGCCTCCATCTAAATGTGGAATAACAAGTATAAGAATATTGTGAGTGACTCTTGCTTCCTACTTTAGAATAGGACAATGTGTACTTGATTCTGGAGGAAATAACAAATTCCATGAATGTCATAACAGATACAGACACATTAACAACAGCATTAATGTAAGATTTATACATGCAAAGCTACCTATAGAGAAAGTTAGAAAATCAAACAATAAATCTTTCCCAAACCAAGGGAAAAAAACATCAAAGTGAACCGCATCCAGATATGGATAAGCTGTTGATATAAAACACTGATTAGATAGATTTTATTGATCTCACAATGGAGAAATGTAATAAATATTATATCAGCCTTTTCTTATCTTTATTCCTTTGTTTTTCCTTTTGCAGTGATTCATTAACGGAGGCATTCATTTACTCCTGTTATTGTTGCGGCCACATGTTGTCCTGTAGCAACACCCTGCCTCCCATTGCATCATGTGATTTCAATCAAACACCCCACCCCGCGCTCAAAACGTGCTCGTGTGAAACCGTCCTCTCCATCACCCGGTTTTTAAAGCAGCACAAAGCACACGCCCATTCATTTCTTTCTCTGCTGATTCAGAGAGAAGCTAAATAGGCGAAAACAACAACCATGGAAGCAGCTGTTGTGCAGGTAATTCCCTCTGTCAACAGCAAACAGCTCAATCATTATTATTGATTGTAAGGGAACAAGCCCTCCCCAGCAAAAGGATGGGCAGAATAAATGAAGGTGAAAATGGGAGAGGCAGCTCTGGAGACAGCGGGAGGTCTAAACAAACACTGCTCCCAGATTAATAGTTTTAAAGGAGGCATATTACAAACAATCATATGATATTGTTTTTAAATCTTTGAACCATGTTTCATCTGCATTATTCACCTGGATTGTTTTTTTGCTCCTGCCATTATAATGTCTGGCAAAAACCGAAACAAACATATCCCCCACCCCTTCTGCTTAAATGGTCGGTTTTACAAACTTTTCAGTCTAGTTACAGTTGACAGTTATGTGCCATATTCATGTATTTATTCCCGCTACACATTGTAGTCGGTTGCCACAGCTGCCCTGAGGCCCGTGACAAAAGCTCAACTATTCGCTCACACACAAAACACGCCATTTACTGTGGGTGAAGTGTCTTGACAAAGAACAAAACAACAGCTTGAGCACTAGAGCCTCAGGTCTCTCCTGATATTACAGAAGTCTACCATCTGAGCACTTACCAGGACGTGCAGTGCTTAGCTTCTGAGATCAGGTTCTGACATTTTGGAAAGTGCACTTTTCTATTTTATAAAAGTTTAGCTCCTAGTAGTTATAAAACTGGCAGCAGTGGCTCAATTGACGTTGTCGTACTTGAATGTAAAGAAAATACAATAAATTATTTCACATCCTAAAATGGCCAATTTTTTTTATAAAGATGATTTTTTTTTTTTTTTAAGAATATTTTGATATTTTATTCACCAACATGCATGCTATCTACATAAATAGATACTATCACACATGTTTAACTGTAGAGTACTGGTCGTAACAGACGCTAAAGGTGAAGCTGGTCATGCGTGCACTCCACTCAACCATGTTCTTCCACGGCCTTAACATGATTTTGAGCAGCCTGCTGGCAAAGTGTAAGGGCTTAATCATTTACGTCAACACACTCACACCTCGGCCTGGCTTTGTGTGGCTCTCTTTGAATTACTAAAGAGAGTTTTCCATAAAGAAACAAACATAATTACGGATAAACTTCTGCAGCACTTAAATTGTATTGCTTTCAAAGGCTTATTTAATAAGTGCGGCTGAGGGACTTACTTTTGCTGACAAACTTTCCTTGTTTTTTGCCTTTTCCCTCCTTACACTCCAGAAAGAATATGCTTGCTTTTTGATTAGCCGGTTGCGGTGGGCTTTTGGTGCCTCGGTACACTACAGTAATTAGGCTGTCAGTCAAAAGCAGATGGCTGGTGGCTAAAATGGGAAAGTTGCCTGGTAAAGTTTTCCCATGAGTTGCTGATTTTCATTTGTTTCGGAGTCCATAGTGATTGCTAAAGAATGAATCCAATACCTAAATAATGATAGTTAGACTGTGTAACTATTTAGTTTGATTGATCCAAGACCATGTAACATTACTGCCTTAAAAGTACTTTCTCCAACTGCAGTGTATAAATCTAGCATTTTCTATATTTTTCAACATTGTATTGAGTGTGAATTACACTTTAGGTAAATAATTATGACATATTAGTGTACAAGTGAGAGAAATAACCTTGATCTGGTAACATTTTGTGGCATTCTGAAGACTGAGCGTCGGTTTTTCCCTTAAAATCTACAGTATAAGTCTGGAAATGATAAAAGTACTTTAAAGAGACCCTTTTACACACCCAAGGAAGAACATTATATGAACATGACAGCCCTGTTATATGTCCTTCAATAACGTGTTGTTGTTGTTTTTTTTTTCCAGATCGTGTTTGAAGGAATCCGAGGGCCCAGTTTCGAGGGCGACATTGCCATTGATGATGTGTCCATTACACTGGGGAAGTGCAAACAGGCGAACACTGTAGCCAGCGCAGGTAAGACAGGTAAGATAGAGTGTCAAAGGGACACTGCAGAGGATTTAGAGAAAGCGGAGCCTTTTCATTACAAGCAGATAGTTACCAAACAGAACCATTTATATCCAGTAATGAGTCAATTATAACCTCCTATGTTCATATGTCAGGTCAGTCTAGTTGAAACCTGAGTTCATGTGAGGAAATGCATTCTATTCTCACTACTACGTTCCACAATGTAACCACAATTTAAAAGTCGAACCAAGGTGTCTCTCTAAAAATAGAACTTTATTTCTTAGCGTAAAATGTTTGTGAGGGCCAAGTGAGCCTTAAGGCAGAGGTGCAGGAGTGTAACAAGGAACTGCTCATGTCCATGCAAATGTGGTCCAGCCGGCAGCTGTTTGCAGAAGAGACAGAAAAAGGTCAGACAAGTGAGAATACAGAAAGCGGATGAGAAAATTGTGGATTCAGAAACAGAAAGAGGTGGTCGATGGGCTCAACTATGAAAGAGAATATCAAAAACACACCTGCAGCTATGCTATTGATCTACTTTGTTTATTGCTTTGTATCTAAGTTTGATATGATCGATGTGAATAAGAATTTATATCCATTTCATTGTGCAACATGTGGTTTAAAATATCCTTGCGCACACAAACTGGGAAGATAAATATAAAGAATACATATGAATTATTAAATATTGCTTTTATCCTTCTCAACCTGCCTTTTGAGATGCCTGTCTTTGGAGTGTTTGTGTGCATATCGAGACGCCAATCTTGGGGCCCATATGTGCGTATCAAGGCGCTGGCGGAGGGAGTGAATTATGGATGAAGGTGTAAACAGGAAGCAGGAAGGCTCTTGAGCAGTGCACATGTCCTGCAGGTTGGGTACAGTGGTGACAGATGGGTAATTATCAGCGAAGGCGACACAAAAACTCTGTGCCGCTATTAGCAACACAATCGCATCTGTCAGGAGCTAAGCAGCAGAGGACTTAGGGACATAACGAGGTTTAGAGGATGGATTAAAGGAAAACTAGGATAATGTGCAAATAGATATCAATAATTACAAGTGCGGTGCTGGAATTTAGCTAGACATTTGAGCGCATTGTCGACACCTTCTTAACTGATGGACATTTGAAAGGCCCACAGGATTATTCTCCATATACTTCAGCAAATATCCCAGTTCAGATGACATACAGTAAATGCAGATCCTGATGTTCTGAATGCTACTGTGTTTATTTTTTTTTTTTCATTTTTCTGTTGGGACTTTTTATGTGCCTTTTACAGTCAGTGTCGTTTGGCCTCTTGTGTTACTCTGCCCTTACGGAAGTAGAACACTGGGCACCTACTGAGCAAGACGTCTGGTCGGGCCAGAACGTCACTTCTGCTAATGCCTGGTGTGGTGCAAGCATATTCCAATTAGCACTGGCCATTGATATGAATGAGCAGACATCTTGGGTCATCAGAGATAGGCTTTAGTGAAGAAAAAACAATCTATTGAGTGTATCACAGGTGAGGAGTGGCCTTGGACTCAAATAATGTAATCCTTATAATTTTACTAAAACGCACAAAACTCCTTATATAACTACTACTGTAGCCGCAGCTGCCCTGTGAGAATGACAGAAGTGAGGCAACCAGTATCCGCCATTGGTCCCTCTGACTGGTTTTATCTCTTGTTTGTTATTAAAAAATTCTATTAAGAAAAACATATTCATAGGTACTATATCTTCATCCTCCTTGTGTAAAAGATACAACACAGTAAACAAACAGTAAGCTAAATCTTATTTAATAAGTGTTTTTGCAATTTTTTTCCTACATTGTCACATACATGTATTTGAATCGTGTCATCTTTTTTGCCGCATATGATGCTGTGAGGATACACTCCTGCCCATTGTAATTCTCTTTTGTATGAAGGTGTGACAGCAGAAAACAAACTCAAAGGGAGATACAAATAGGTTAAAATATACAGTGAGTGGGTTTTTAATGCACAAGTACATAAAAGCATAGAACATCAATATCAGCTTTGATCAGCGCACTGTCATATCTGTGCGTGTTTCTGTCAGAGAGATGGGGAGGGTGCATTTTTCCTTTGAGAGCGTCTCCAAGTTATTCCTATCATGCATTTCTTGTACACACAAACTTCTTGATGAGACAGTAATGGTGCACAAACCTATATCACACATGAAAGTACTAATTATGGCAATCACTAATGGCACCATATGCTAAAGTTTGACCTCTTTAAAAAAATGCCAGCACAATTGAAAACAAGGATCTCGAGTTGAATTACAGGTGACTAGACCCGTGCTTAGTTGGTTTTACAGTTGGTTATGTTTGTCATGGCTTTAACTTAAAATATATAATACATTAATGAGTGTTGTACAGTAGATACAGATGCAAATGCTTACTGTAATACTACTCTTTTCCTTTACAGTTCTGATTGGTGGATCGGTGGCTCTGCCGTTGACCGGCCGGCTGACCTTTGGGCTTTCCTGGGTTCTGTGGCTGCTCCTCAGATGATGAGCACTGACAGTGTGAACAAGGACTGTGTCTGTCCTCGGCTTTATCCACATTTAATCATACGCTGTGCCCCTCTGTTCCCCATAGCCCCCAATCATATTTAATAAGTCTGTCTATTCACCTCCTGTTTTGCCAAACACACTTATAACTATTTAGGTAAGCATCGTAACGATCTTCATATTATCTTCAAAACTTCATTGGATTCAGTCTATTAGAGTCTCAGTTTCCATTGACTCCCCCCCCCATGTGCACTCTTTGTCCTGTCTCCATCCCCTCCCCGTCCCTTGAAAACCCAAGTCCTGTTCCAAAGACACAAAAGTGTCGGACACTCTACCAAAGATGACTCTGGACCTTGAAGGACTAAAACAGTGATGAATGCAAAGGAATGCTGGGAATCTATGGCAAGGACACGGTTTCCTGTTTTTGTTGGGGACCACTTTAAAGTCTGCAAGAAATGAAAAGACAATTTAAGAAACTGTGAGGGAGCGCCAAGCCCACTTTTTGCTTGCTGCAAGAGACAAACCTCAGCGCGGATATACGTGTACATGTATCTATATATACCTATATATATATATATAAATATATATGTATAATGAAATATAATGAGAGTTTAAACAAGAAGACTGGGACAGTGCAGGACGTTTTGTCTATTTGAAAAAAGCACAATGTTTATACAACCTATGTTGTTTCTTTGAGTTTCATCTTACTAAATATGTACCATTAGTTTGACATTATCAATGTTTTTGATATTTTATTTTCAATTTATATTCAAATTTGGTAAAAAAAAGGAAAAAAAAAGTGATGGTATGAACAGGATGTGGAAAATTGTGCACTTTGACAACAACCAACATATACTCTGTAATCCTCAATAACTTCACCTTAAGACCTCAGTACATCACCTTCTCTTTGCCAACAACTACCGCGGTCGCCATATTGTCCAAGTGCATAACATCATCGTTTGGGGCTGGTCTCTGACCTAAACATTTTTCTAACCGATGACATTAAAAGGTAACATGTTTATTTTATTATTGTAATTATTTTCTTCGGTGCAGAATGTCCGTCTGTGTGTACATCTCCATGCTGTAGAAATCAACCCATGCCCATCGACAATAAACTGTAGACTGGTTGTTCTGTTAATCGCTGAGGAAAATTGTAACTGGCTTTGATGAAATATTATGTTTTCATAATGCTTTAATTATGATACTGTAGAAGGCATTATTTTGTGACTCTATTCAACACATGTTTACCGTGACATCACATCTATTCATCATAAATCATATATGTCTCTTTATGTTGCAAGTATCATCACAAGCTCATGCTTCTATCTCCTGCTGTAGCTCTATAAACATGCACAAAAACCGCCTTAACACAACTTTCTCTTTTCCCCACCCAACAAAGTTTTGACAAAACACTCAATAATTAGCAGCCTGGATATGTATTAATGTCTTATTTTCCAGTGTCATAATCTTGCACCTAATCCCAATAAATATCCAACAACATTTAGTAAAAAAAAAACAGTATATACAGTTCCAGCTGCATTGGCGCTTTGTGTTATTTTAAATAACCAATATATTGAATGTTTAATTGTCAACAATACCAATTATGTGATTTTTTGATTGGGTATTTGTAGTATTCTGGAAACAGCAGGCCATCCAAGTATCTATATCATGCAGACATGCTTTAATATGACATATTCCAGCAAAATGAATGTTCAAAATGCAAATAAATGGCCCAGAAGTAAAAGACTGATATTATTCTTAGAAGTAAATAAGTTGCACAATATTAAATGTTTCAATGAAAGAAGATGTGTCTTACTTAATATGAGACGGACAATCCACTTTGACGTTGCTTCATTGCTTCTTCTTCTTTTTTCTAATTTCCCAACAATTCAACAGACCATAAACCGTTTGGATTGATCATAAAACATCCATCTCATCGTAAGATAAGATATATCAAGTTGAATAACGGAATGAAAACGGTGGCCGGCTCTCACTTGCGCTGTATTTTTGTAAAACAATCTTGGGAATAGATCCAACCAATCATTTCAAACTGTTATTCTCAGTACGGTTTACACCCATGTGATGACTGTGAAGAAGAGAAGTGGAAGAAACCAGGAACAAGGATTGCATACAGTATACGCTCACATCTTGGCAAAGCTGAATGCATTTTATGATTTAAAAGGGGCTTTGGAAAACTTCTCTGCTAGAGGGTCTGTACCAACTTATAGACTTATGTTATTTCTGGTACTAAAGTTATGTATTTCCATTGAGACAAGCAGATGATACTAGGTAAAGTCAGCTCTGTGGAGAGGCAATCCTGCCTACGTCAAAAATGCATTTCTTTCTTGGAATTTGCAATAAAAAGCAAAAGGTAATAATAAATCATCACAAGATATAAGATGCCACTCTGGGTCGTTCCAGTCATTGCAAAAACAAATCCATTGTAAACAGTACGGCCGCCAGGAGAAAAGTTACAGCACCTTTCAGGAAATTAGACTAACGTGTTTTTCCAAGACGCACAGAGATGAGTATGAGAAAGTCCATATTTGATTTGCCAGTTTTTTGACATGCCTTAAAATCTTCAGAGAACTTTGTACCACCGGGTGAATTTTTACTGACTCCAGTGGATGTGGATCTGTACTTGTGGTTCTGCAGGTTTGATACACACCGTAGAGTGATGTGCAGCAGACATGTTAAAAGAGAAATGCACCTTAAGGGATATCTGTGGGAAAACAAAAGCAGTGTCATATATTGTGTATAACTATGTCATGTACTGGTCATATTTTAAAGGAAAATATCTTTGAAATGATTGAAGAGAACAAATAAAGTGATGACACAAAGATGACATTTGCTATATTTAATCATAAGAGATGCTAAGGATTTCCACAAAACAGGCTTCTTCTCAGATCATCATCACAACAATGTGTTAACGGGACAATGGGCTTTGTTTTTAAACTACTGTAAAGTACTTTGTGTTGAATTTTTATTTTTTTTTAAGAAAGTGATTTATAGATTAAAGATGCTGTTAGTGATGTTGTTAGCTTAGCCGTAGCACCAACTTGAAATCACTCCCGCCTCCCCACCCTCTCCACCAAACCAAACATCCAGCATTTTCTTTTCTTTGTCACAACAGGGAGAGCGGGAGGCAAACGTGAAATTGGCATTTTCTGTTCAGCCCTTTTAGATTTTAGAAAATAATCCGATAACTCAGGTGTGCGCACTCGCGAGAAACAGGAAGCGGGTAAAGGGGGTTAATGCATCCCATTGGTTTATTTACATCGGTCCGCTCCAAAATATTTTTTATGAAAATTTGGAGACTATAGACATCTGGTCAATTCCAATACTATTTGAAAACACATGATAACTTGACTACTTTTAGGGTTTAGGGACGTTTTCCCACAATATTAAAAAAAATGCATCATGGAAAAAATCACTGACTGCATCTTTAATCTACATTTCCAAACAATTGATCCTACAGCATCTTAGCGACCACTGTGATGGGAGTAAAGGCGCCAGGCTGTTTACTCATACAGCCACTGGGTCACTACAATGTCAATTAAGCAAGAATGTTTTTCACACAAAATGTTGCATAATTCCAGTGTGTTGTCAGTGTATAATACAAATCAGTGTATTTTTGTATCGCCAAAAACCTCAGCAACAGGCCTTTCGAAGAGCAATGATTTGCCAACAGATTAGAAAATAAAAACAATATAAGATATACAAATAGTCATTGATCCATAGTGACAAAACAGACAAACCAATCCCAGGCATTTGAGAACATGTAAAAAGTAAAAATAAAAAAAATAAAAAATTGGGAAAAAATAGGGAAAATTCAACAAACCAGTGTTGGGAAAAAGGGAGACACTCGGGGAGAGGAGAGGAGGGGAGAGCGTGGTGTATGAGAGATTGATGACGGTTGGAATAGTAATGTGCAAAGTAAATGAAAAATTGGCATTAAAGTGTTGAAAGGTGTTTTTGAAATCCACGACATTGTTATTGTTGTTATAAATTCACTTGAGATAACTTGTTTGCAAGACGCTGCATTTACAGTCCAAACTGCTTCATAAATACGCTGCCGTCTTCAGCTGTCGAATCAATGACTGCAAACTCTCATGTGGAGATGGAGTGGGTGCCGAAGAGCCCCGGTTAAATATTTTCTGGGAAATACGTGTCAGCAGCAGGGGTCTAATTACAGCAGTATTACAGGTGCCTGAAGATACTAATTACTGCAACATTTCACACTCATTAAGTCTGATTAATGGACCAACATATTTGAGTACTTACAAATGCATAAATAACACAAAGAGCTCTTAAAAGTGATCGAAGGAGAATACGTTTATGAAATGATCACAGGTTTGCGACAGACAAATAGTGATCACTTATAATAGGTGCACGGATAACATAATTGGGGTAAACCAGCTCTGCAAACTACAAACTAGGACAGAAGCAGGTCGGAAGACACAGGTATGATAAGAAACATTGAGGTGCGACCATCCATCCATCCCTCCATTTTCTTCCATCCATCCATCCATCCATTTTCTTCCCCTTAATCCATTTCTGGGTTGGGGGGTTGGGGGGGGGTTGGGGGGGGGGAGCTCCACCAGTACACATAGCACCAGCCCCTCACTGATCCTCCTGCAGTGGGTGAGTCCACAGGAGCTGAGATCTTTCAGCGGGGGCTTCAGGCAAAGTTGGGTTAAGTGTCTTGCCCAAGGACACAACGACAGCAGTCACCAGTGGGAGTCATGAAGTAGGTCTTACGGTGGGCTCGAACCCACGACCTTCAGGCTCAAAGGCCAACGCTCTACCAACTGAGCCACTGTCGCCCCCTGTGAGGTGCGGCCATTGATACTAATTCTATACTAACATTTTAGTCTTTCATGAGAGTTATTTTCAATTTGCATTTTCAATGATTACATTTGTTTGTTTATATTAACACATGCGGCTTTTATACAGAACTTAATTGGATACTCAAAGATACGTCATATGATTTCTCCATTT